GCGGTGACAGACATACTACTCACAAAATTGTGAAATGTTTGTTTTTTCTTGCAGTTTCTTCAACAGGTTGCATGTACTCAAGAAATATTTGGTCCAAATTCCAATTGTTAATGTTGAAAAAGGGCAAGAAAAGATACGAAGAATTCTTCAAAGAATGAAACAGTTTTGTTCTGTGTCCTGCCCCTGATCTGTCTGTGTGTGTGTTCTGTGTGTGTGTGTGTTCTGTGTGTGTGTTTTGTGTGTGTGTGTTCTGTACATATAGTTGAGGAGGTCCCCCCACTGTACATTGTTCTATGTTCTGTACATTGTTCTATGTTCTGTACATTGTTCTATGTTCTGTACATTGTTCTATGTTCTGTACATATAGTTGAAGAGGTCCCCCCACTGTACAGCTCGCCCCACGTCTACGTCCCCGAGAGAGCCAAAGACAAGCTGGGATTTGACCAGGTAAGGCCGACCCTCGTTGTTATGTCCACACCTGATACTATTTTTGGCTCTGTAGTGCCGTACCAAGAACAACAAACATGGAAAAGGTGTCTCTGATTGCGGAAGACCCTTGCTCAATGTGTCAGTTTCTCCTTCAAACTTGAGTACAACAGGGTGGCTAGATTTTCTCCCTTGTAATCTGCAACTGTATATGAGAACTGTGCCTCTTGTCTGCTATGGCTTATGGATAGTTATTTCCCTTGTTGGTAACCACTAGAGTTGTGGGCTACCATAGCAAGTTTTTTGTTTGGAGTTTTTGTCATTTGTCAATGTGTAGTCCAAGCTACTTAAGAGAAACTTGGAAACTTGGAATCGATTAATCTTTTAGCAAAAATAAACATGTTTTGCGGCTCACTGAACCAAGTTCGTGATAAATCGGAGTTCTGTATTCAAATGTTTTAGAGTGCAGGTTGAGGCGGGTAGAGCAAAAGATGATTGAACTTGGTATGTGTCTTTCTTTTGTGTCGCTCACTATGAGTGATCAGCGTAGGGCTTGGCTTTTTTTTCTACGATGGTTTTTTTGCTGTTTTGTTTTGTGTGACGGAAGCCTGTTTTGTGGGGGTCACAGGACGACTGTAGAATGTGCTTATTTCCTGTCCCAAACTGCTCACGCACAAGTGTCTGTGTGTTCCAGATATACATGATTAATCTGAAGCGCCGACCAGCGAGGAGGTTCCGGATGACGAAAGCTTTCGATTATCTTGGCATCGATGCCAAGTATGTTGATGCTGTTGACGGCAAGTAAGTTGTGTTGTGCCGGTCACGGCGCAGTGGGGTCGGGCGCTCGTCGGTTTGTGGGCCAGGGGAGTTCTACCAGCTTCAAGTTTGTTCTTTTGTCTTGCATTTGAGAAAAACAAAATCCTTGTATCGAGAATAGAAGTTGAGCTATCTCCGATTGAAGAAGGTGGGGGGTGGGGGGGTCACCTGGTTTCAGAGGTAGAATTATGGGAATTATCGAGAATTTGGCTGCAAAAGTTTTGCCACTTCCATAGCTTGAGAGTCCTTGGGAAATGGAAATTTACATTTTTTGTGCCGTTAATCAACGTTGTACCCGTAAAATTCACACAGAGATGTGTATTGAATAGATGTAAAAGGTGCTGAGCCAAAAAAACAAAAATTCAATAGAGATTGCCAAACTGGGGGAAAATGTCGTTTTCATGGATTTCCTCCTTATGGAGAGCGCCAGACTTGACCGTGACGCCTCACGTTTTGTGTCTCGCTGTGATTATGTGATAGATGGGTTCTTGTTGCAGTCTGCATTGGCTGCTTCTTTTCTTTGTGCTTCTCTCTGCTTTGCCTTTGTCTCTCGTTCTTTTCTTAGTGGCTACGCCTGTTTCCTCCCCGCAAGATTGTATAGTTTTAGTAGAGTTTTTAACGGTGGTCGCAACTGCATAAGGTCATATGAACGCCAAGGGGCGGGTGTCAACAGAGAAGTCCTCTAGCCTCAACAGCACAAAGTCTGCTTGGACTATCTAGGCACCCCAGAAATAGCGGGTCACAAGAGTGTGACAAACATACAAAAGAAGTAGAGGAAAAATGACAATAGTAAGGATTAGAAAAGAAAAAGCAGCAGTTCCCTGTTGTAGATCAGGCACAGTTATGAGCTTGACATTGTTGGATCAGCCCATTTACAATTCCACTGTGCATAAGAACAGGTTAATGTCCCCCCTTTGGGAACAGCCTGAAGACACTTCAGTCAGTGGCACCGCCGTGGGGGGGGGGAGGGGGGTAATGGAATAATTTGTCTTTCTCCTGAAAATGTTTTCTGGTTTAAGAACAAGTGAAGAGCTTGGTGAGGAGATGTTGTAGTGTGTCTGTGTGTGTCAGCTGTACTGTGTCTGTGTCTCTTTGTGTGTGTCAGCTGTACTGTGTCTGTGTGTGTGTCAGCTGTACTGTGTCTGTGTCTCTGTGTGTGTGTCAGCTGCACTGTGTCTGTGTGTGCCAGCTGTACTGTGTCTGTGTCTCTGTGTGTGTCAGCTGTACTGTGTCTCTGTGTGTGTGTGTGTCAGCTGTACTGTGTCTGTGTGTGTCAGCTGTACTGTGTCTGTGTGTGTGTGTCAGCTGTACTGTGTCTGTGTGTGTGTCAGCTGTACTGTGTCTCTGTGTGTGTGTGTGTGTCAGCTGTACTGTGTCTGTGTGTGTGTGTGTCAGCTGTACAGTGTCTGTGTGTGTGTGTCAGCTGTACTGTGTCTGTGTGTGTCAGCTGTACTGTGTCTGTGTCTCTGTGTGTGTCAGCTGTACTGTGTCTGTGTCTCTGTGTGTGTCAGCTTTTCTGTGTCTGTTTGTGTGTGTCAGCTGTACTGTGTCTGTGTGTGTGTGTGTGTGTGTCAGCTGTACTGTGTCTGTGTCTCTGTGTGTGTCAGCTGTACTGTGTCTCTGTGTGTGTGTGTGTCAGCTGTACTGTGTCTGTGTGTGTCAGCTGTACTGTGTCTGTGTGTGTGTGTCAGCTGTACTGTGTCTGTGTGTGTGTCAGCTGTACTGTGTCTGTGTGTGTGTCAGCTGTAGTGTGTCTCTGTGTGTGTCAGCTGTACTGTGTCTGTGTGTGTGTGTGTCAGCTGCACTGTGTCTTGTGTGTGTGTGTGTCAGCTGTACTGTGTCTCTGTGTGTCAGCTGTACTGTGTCTCGGTGTGTCAAGGAGTTGCTGTAGTGTGTCTCTGTATGTCAGCTGTAGTGTGTCTCTGTGTGTCAACTGTAGTGTGTCTCTGTGTGTCAGCTGTACTGTGTCTGTGTGTGTGTCAGCTGTACCGTGTCTCTGTGTGTGTCAGCTGTACTGTGTCTCTGTGTGTCAGCTGTACTGTGTCTGTGTGTGTCAGCTGTACTGTGTCT